AAAAAAAAAAAAAAAAAAGCGGATGATTTCACAGCCCTGATTTAAAAAAAACCTTCTTTAAAACGAACAAACAGATTGTTGGGACTTCCCTGGCGATCCTGTGGTTAAGAATCCACGCTTCCACTGCAAGGGGTACGGGGTTCGATCCCTGGAGAAGGAAATAAGATCCCAAAAGCCACGCGGTGGGGCCAAAACAGAAACACACAGATGGTTGGGCCCCACCCCTGGAGGAGCCTCTGCCTCCTTAGGTCTGGGTTGAGGCCTTATATTTGCATGTCTAACAAGTTCCCAGGTGATGCTGAGGCTGCTGGTCCAGGGACCACACTTTGAGAACCACTGAGCTAGCTGCTTGTGGACAAAGTATGTGGACAGGAAGGCCTTATTCCTCTCCCACAAGAGAAGGCATGAACAGACACAAAGAAACACCAACAATATAGTTCATAAAGTGATAGATTCCATGAGGAAAATGAAGAGGGTGGAAGGGGAAGTGCTGGAAAGTAAGGATAGGGTAGGCATGGAAGGTAGCAACACTTGAGGGCACAAATCAGTGTTCCTTTTTGAGCAGTTGAAGTTTACAAAGCCAGGCAAGCACACACAAGAGGAGGCTTCTTGGGCTCAGGGGAGGGGTAATCTACAGACATAGGGGAGGTTAGAAAAGGGGGTCCACTCCCCCTCCCCCTCCACCCCCCCCCCCCACGGCGTGCACAGAGGCAGAAGGACTCGCAGAAGTGACTGAGTCGCCCGCGTTGAGATCCGAGGGCAAATCCGAGAGAGGAGAGTTGGAGAAGGGGGCGTGGTCAAGAGCTGTGGATTCTGAGAGGGTAGAGAGGTGCCGCTTTGGGTTGGGTTGCAGGAGGGCCCAGAGACCCCCAACAAGAAGTGAGACTGAAGTGAGACTGAAGACCCCTGGAGCGAGGGGATGAGCAAGGAATTTGAGGATTGGAGACCGCAGATGGCTCCTCGGGAAAGTTTTGTTGCTCAGGAAGCGGAGAAATGAGGCGCTCCCTCAGGCGGATGGCGAGGGTGTTTAAAAGGTTGGAGGTGCTGGAGTTTAGTTGAGGGTTGATGGGAGGGATCTCGGAGGGAGGAAGAAATGGAACATGCAGGAGAGAGGGGTGTGAGCCTTGAGAAGGGTAGAGCTGGCAGGGTCTGAATGTTTAGAGAACTCAAAAGGTTCGCCTGCCCTGGAAACATCACTCATCTGAAATTTACAACCAACTCCAAAAGGAAAGCACTATTTTCCCCATTTAACAGACGAGGAAACTTAAGCTCAAAGAGGTGAAGAGACACGTCCAAGGTCCCACATCTCAAAGAACAGGACCTCACTCGGTGTAGGGAGCCCGCGCTCCTCTCACTGCCCCCGCTGCTCCTGCGGGCTCCGAACAAGACCCTTTTTTGTGTCCTTGCAGGGATGCCTTTTGGAGAGCCGCCCAATGGCAAAGAGGCCCGGCTGAGAGCGGGCCCGCGGGGTGGGGTGCCCCCCCTTCACCCTAGCTCCGCCCCCAGCGGCGCGGGAGGGGGCGCGGGGCGGGGAGCAGCGGGCAGACGCGGGGCGCGCGGGACTGGTAGAGCTGGTGGCGGCGCCCGGCTAGCAGTGCGGCCCGCGCTTCCCGGCCTCCGCGCCCACTGTCCGTGCCCGCCTTGCCCGTCCCGCCATGGCCGCAGCCGCCCTCCCGCCCTGGCCTCGGTCCGGGCCTGGGCCCCGGCCGCTGCCTCTGCTCCTGCTGTCTCTGCTGCTGCTGCTGCTGCTGCTGCTGCTGCTGCTGCGTGCCAGCCCGGTGCGCGCTGACAGTAAGGTATGTGCGGCCCTCCGACCAGGGCGCAGCTCGGCGTGTTGCCTGGCGCGAGGGGGCGCTGTGGCTGGGGGTGCCGGCTAAGCATGGTGTCTGGGCCAGGAACAGAGGACCTAGAGAGGGGAGACTTAACAGGGAGGCCGCAGGGGCAGGGACCCCGGGAGAGGAGTGCGTGGGGGAAGAAGGGCTGGAGACAGATGGCAAGGGTGCTTGGGACCCCGAGCCTCTGGAAGGGGAGCTGGACACAGTCCAGTGCAGGGAGGAGGTCAGTACTGAAACCCCGGGCCAGGGAGAAGGCGTGCTGGGAGCTTAAAGGCGGCCCAGACAGGGAGATGCAGTCCCCAGCCTAGGGAGGGGATTCCTGGGAGTGCTGGGCAGGGGCAGCCTGGAGATCTGGCCCAAAGTTTCCATGGGAGGCTGACCCACGTGGGGACAGACCCCTGGGGTAACTGCTACCTAGCTACTCCTAGGTTTGCAGCAGGCCCTGGGCCAAGGCTTTCAGGCCATACGGGGGACCCAATGAACCCAGCTGGGCTGGCCACTCTCCTGACCTCTGGTGTTCCTACCAGAGATCTGATGCACCCTCCAGAAGACACGGTGTCTCCAGAAGTGACTGAGCTGTTCTCAGTTATGGCTGAAAGGATCTGCTCTGGTGTCAGGCAGACCTGGGTTCAAATCCCGCCTCCGTCTCTCAGCTAGGTGACCTTGGGCCTTTATGATCTCTAGATTAGAGAGATCAGGCCTGGATAATGCTTAGCATCACTCTGGCACCTAGTGGGTGTCCAATAAGTGATACTGTGATTTTGAAATCTTACCACAGAGACCCCAAAAGGGGGTGTGATCCAGAATGTAGAGAGGAGAAGCACTTAGAGTCAGTCAGAGCAGGGACCTCTTGAGCATGTCCTAGAAATGACCCAGTGAGGACTGGGTTGGGACTGGGGGCAAGTGAGAGGCAGGAGGGAGGTACTGCAGAGCATGAGAGTAAGAGTGACTTCTCTTGATGTCTCTCCAGCCTCTTTCCTGGGTAGGAGGTGAGGCTGCCCTGTCCACAGGCAGGTAAAGGGCAGAGGTCACTAGCCATATGGTAAGTATATAAGCAGTGGGCACTGGCCGACCTTCAGCCTGAAGATTCAGCTCAGGGTATGCAAACAAGTGAGCTGCAGTCCTAACCACGTGCTCCAAAGACAAGGAGGGAATGAGTATCATTCCCATTTTACAGATGGGGAAATTAGGATGTACAGAAAGACAGCTAGCTTGTGGATCAAAAAACCTAGGTTCTGGCCCTTTGTTGTTTTTTGTCTGTGTGACCTTGGGCAAGTCACTGACTGTTTCTGGACCTCAGTGCCCCCATCTGAAAAACATTGTCTCCCCAACTTCCCTTCCATATAGGGCCTTCTAGGATTCCCTGACCTGGCTCAGGTAGGGGAACAAGTGAGCAAAAAACCCCAGATAACCTGGTCAGCACTCTGCCACCTCTCATCTCTCTGGCTGGGAGGAATATTTGGTCTTGGGCATCCTCTGAGCCATGCAGAGGGCTGTAGAGCTTGTGGGGGAGGGCTCGCATTCAAAGCAAAGCAAAGACAAAGAAAACCCAACACGCTGTTTATGTAGTGAGTCAGCCAAACACTTGCTAGGTTGGGGGTGTGTGTGTGTGTTTATTTGTCCCAGGGCAGGCTGGGGCTGGTGGGGTGGGGAGGCACATCCTAGAGTTTGGAGGATGAAGCAGCTGGGGGACTCAGCACAGCCCTCCCCCAGACACCTCCCACCCCACCCCACTCAGCCAGCTGGGAAAAATAAAAATCAAGTGATGGGTGAATTTACTCTGCATTCAGCAGAGTAACTCCTGCTGTCGGACTCCTGCTGGCTCTGTAGAGAGAGCTGTTTTCATTGTCACCCTCCCCCAACAATCCTCCTTCCTCTTCAGGCCTGTCCTATTTTCTGAGGGTGAGGGGAGAGCCCTTTGGAAGGCCAGTCTGGGACTTTAAATCTATCTAGGGCCCTAAAGGGTTAAGTTGGCCCCTCCTCAGACTTCCAGCTCCTGGGCGGTCTAGCCTCACCTTCTGCCCAGTACTTTCAGGGGTACACGGGCAGCTCAACCCCAGTGCTCACCAAGGAACTCTGTGGTCTTGGCCAGCTCCTCACTCAGCGTGTTTTAATTTTGTGTTTATAACAAGGTCTCTCCTAAGCAGAACTTGGGGTTTCCATCTAAGGAAGTGCTTTGCCCATCTTGGGAGTGGGAGAAGGAGTTCACAGCTTCCCTGGCATATCTGAGGGGCTGCCCAGTGTAAAGGTTAGGATGGACAGACAGGTAACCACATGAAACCCAGGCACAGCACCAGAGACCTCTGGGAACCTGCCTTTTGCTGCAGGTCCTAGGAATGTGGCTAAGAATTCCCCATCTCTACCTCAGTTTCCCCATCTGTGAAAGGGCTGCTGGCACCTCATGTTCCCCATGCATCCTGGGGTGGGAATGGGGTCTTTGGTCAGCCCTGCTGCTGATGAGAGGCCTGAGGACAGTGGGAAGGCCAAGGCCTGTGGGAGCTGGGCCAGGGCAGCAGGAGGGCTAGCACAGGTAGGCGGTGGTGTCCCAGGCTGGATCACATGTTCCCGGCCAGGCCTGTCCCGGAGGCTTAGGTGTTGCTGCCCCTCCACTCGGGGAGTTGCTGCCTGTGGGTGTAATCGGAAACAGGCTCCAGAGCAGGCAAGGGCTGCACAGTGATGGAGTCCTTCTGCACACAAAGAGTGTGGGACCCAGTGAGGCCCCCGCGGGGTCTCTCTGCAGGGAAGATCTTGCTCCTTCTCTCCTATTGGCTGGGGCACTGGAAGAGCATCCTGGGCGCCAAGCCCCCTGCCCAGGATTTACATTCACTATCTCACACAACACTCTAAGACTTCAGTGCTCCCTCCCCGTTTGACAGACTTGAACACTGAAGCTCAAAGGAGTCAGGTTGGGGCTGCTGAAAAATCCAAGATAAGGAACTTGGGGAGTTTGGAGATTCCTGGGACTCTAGGATTCTCAGCCTTTAGTGGGCATCCAAATACCTGGGGAGCCTGAGAGAGTCTGAGTGAAGGGATGTGGAGTAAGGACAGGGCATCTGCATTTTCCAAGTCATTCCACCCCAGGTAATTCTGAGGCACATCTCTAGTTGAGAACTCATGGAGGCTTGTGGAGCAAGAGAATAACAGATCAACGAAAAAGAGCCTTTGGAAGGTTAATCCAGGAGAGAGGAGGCTCCTGTATTGCCCAGGTAGCAGTTGATGCAACCTGAGCTTGGGCTGTGGCCGGGGAGTAGAGACCAAGAGATTGAGATAGGAGATATTTAGAATGAAGCATCCATCGGAAGAACGTGACTGATGGGTTCCAGAGTAGGAAGGAGGCTCAGAGACCTGGGTTGGGCAGGAAGGTAGGTAGACACGGGTTTGGGAGAAGATGCTGGGCCCAGTTTTGGATGGATTAAGTTTGGGGTACCTTTGGGGTATATCCAGAGGAAGGTGTCCAGCTGACCATGGGCTCTAGGGGAGGTCTTTCCCTGCAGGAGGACATGGAAACTGCCTCTCAGTGAATCTGGGCTGGCCATGAGAGAATAGGGAAGATTCAACCTCAAGGTGACACGATTTGAAACTGTTCTGTTTCTAGAACATTTTATCGGTTGAACCCCCTCTTCCCCATTCTGGCCAGATTTTTCCACCTCCCTTCAGAAATGTCAAGTACACCTTCTCGCCATCTTATTGTGGGATTTCCTTGCAAATTGCTAGGGAACTTTTTAAGCACAAGCCACCCACACTTCTGGGGGCTTTGGCAGCAGTGTGTGCTGAGCAAGCCTGCAGGGAGGGATGGGGGGCTGAGGCAGCAACTCCAGCCCTCAGGCCAAGGGCAAGGTGGGTCAGGCCCAGTGGGAGCCCCATTTCCCCTGCCCCACCAAGGCCTGATCCAGGGCCAACATCTCTATCCCAGCTCAGTTGCTGGTGGAGAAGCCCTTGCCTGGTGATTATTGGTGGTCATAGGAGGAAGAGCATGTGAACTAAATTTTGGAGTCAGCCTGTGCTGTGTGACCCTGGGCAAGCCCCTCATCTTCTCTGATGCTCAGATTTCTCCTCTCCAAGCTGGGGTTGTGGTGAGAGCAAAGAGGTAGAAAATGATGTACAAACGTGAGGGAGGGTTATTGGGAGCAACTTCAGTAGCAAGTAGACAGCAGTTGTTCTAAGCCAGGCACTCTGCATGCATTGACTCATTTTAGCCTCAGGACAAGCTTATGAGGAAAGGAGTGTTATCCTCCCCATTTTACAGAGGAGGAAGCTGAGGCTCGGAGGGGTCAAGGTCATGTGGGGAGGACACATGGGAGCTGGGATTTGAGCCCAGGCCTGGCTCCTTTCCATGGGGCTCTGCTGCCTCCAGTCAAGCAGCACAGGACATAGTAACCACAGGAGGTAGGGGCCTGCCTGGGCTCCTGGCAGCCGGGGCTGGAGCAGAGGCTCTCTTCTGACTCCATTCCTGACTCCTGGCCTGTGTCAGGGCCTTGGCCGCCCCCATCAGGACGTAGCACCTCATCTGAGGAGGGAAGGAATGTTGCGGTCTGATGTGGAGGCCGCTGCTGGTGGGGATGGGTGTTGGATTATGGGTGAGTCCTGAGGAAGAGGCCTCTCTGGCCTGGCCACACAGAACACACACACATCCCCTCACTGGGCTGTTACCCCAACCTGGGGGAGTGGGTGGGGGGTGGCTAGGGGTTCCAGCAGAGCCGGGAGGGGGGCTCAGAAGTCTCCAAGAGAAGGCAGGCTTACGGTAGTCGCAGCGATCTAAAGAACGTACAGCATCCGAGCCTGGCTGTCTGCGTTCACAGGTGGGCAGAATTGCCCAGCAGGGCCCAGGGTACACTTAGCCCACAGACAACCAGGGACAAAGCTTCCACCCGTAGCCACCTCCTTCCCCACACTCATCCTCCAGGGGACAGCAAGTCTACCCACCCTGGGCTCTGATCCCCTTGAACGAGTCATTTGATGGCTCCAGGGCTATTTCCTCATCTGGAGGACACTGCTAAGAATATCTACCAGTGCACCCACGTGGAGAAACAAAGGGAAAAACAAGCCCCTGTCAGGATTCTTGGTGGTAGTAATAACAACTGCAACATATTCCTGGTATTCCGTCTCTCAGTTCTCACACAGTCCTTTGCTGGATACGCACTAGCAGTACCCTCAGTTTACAGATGAGGAAACTGAGGCACAGAGAAGTTAAGTAATCTACCCAAGAGCACACAGCTGTAGGTGGCCCATGGCTGTGTTCCTAACCACTGCCCCACACTTCCCCAGCACTCAGTGAGTTCTCAGTAAATGTCTCCTCCCTGGGCTGTGCACCCCAGGCTTGCTTCCTCCACCCACCGTCTGTCCACAAAGCAGCCTGAGTGAGTGTCCCATGATGCAGATCTGACCCTGGCTCTCTCCTACTTAAAACCCTTCATGAATCCCCAGTGTTTTCAGGAATAAGTCCAGATCCTCAGCCAACTTTCAGGGCCCTCCACGAGCGGGCTCTACCACCCCCAGCCTTAGCTCCTGCCACCCAGGCTCTCTGCAGGCACCAGCCAGAGTCAACCTCCTCCAAGCCTCCAAAGTGCCAGGCCCTTGCTTGTCTTTGTGTATATGACTTGCTCTCCCTGGAATGCTCTACTCGTGCTTAGAGATGTCCCCTGGGGTGCCCTCCTCTGAGCAGTCTTCATGGGTGTCTTTTTCTGTGATCTCAGAGCTCACTACATCAGCTTCTCTCATGGTTGAGAAGGTCAAGGATGCACCTCTATTTCTTCTGCACCTCCAGCTATCACCCAGAGTCTGGCTGAAGCCAGGGGTTCAAACAGGCGTCTGAGGGCTCAGAGCAGAAATGGAGTGCCTGCTGCCCTTCCCCAGAGGGCCCTGGGACACTCATGGGGGCTGGGCTTGGCAGAAAGCCCAAGGGAGCCTTGAACTCACCTGGGTCCTAGTGGCTTCAGTGAGAGCTTAGCAGCCATGAGGCCTGCGGTGTTGGTTTCTTGATTGAGCCATAAATAGCTGTGTCCTGAGAGCCTGGAAGCCCAGGATGGGCTGGCTGAACCAGCTAGGGCAGTGGCTGGCTGGGGCTCTGAGAGCTCGGCTGGTGTGTGAGGGCAAGGTAGGCTGGAGGCGGTGACTGGGCCTGGCACCTACCGCTGATCTCACCAAGCTGACTCTTGCAGGCACAAAGTCCTGCTGCCCCAGGGACCAGTGACCACACTTAGACACTGGGTATGTGGCCTCCCAGGGTGGGATTGAAGGAAAAGGGAGGAGGGAAGGGAAACCACTAAATGGAGGTCATGTATCTCATTTGAGCCTCACTATGAGGAGGCCGGGTATGGAGAGTCATCCATTTTACCACTGAGGGAATGAGGCTCAGAGAGGTTATGTAACCTGTTTAAGGTCACACAGGATATGGGGAAACAGATTTGTAGGAGAAGCAGCATAAACCAGCGACTTCTATCTGGAGGCAGATATCCAAAGCTGGATGTTCCCAGGTGAAGCTGTGTGAACTTGTGACTTCACCACTCTGAGCCTCTGTTTCTTTAGCTGTATTAATAATGGCTCACACTTAAGACACACTCACTATTGCTTAGGCTCTGTTCTTTACCTATATTAACTCTTAATCCTCACAACTCCGTGAGGCAGGAGCCCATTTTACAAATGAGGAAACAGAGGCACAGAAAAACTGAGTTGCCCACAATCTCACAGTTACTGGCCTAGGCTCCAGACACCATGCTCTTAGCCCTGTGCTCTAGAGTGTCTGTAAAATACGGGCTTGTTGATCCAACAGATATTTCCAGGGCTCCTACTAGCAGCCAAGCAGGCACTGTTCTGGGGATATAGGAGGGAACTAGACACAAGTCCCTGCCTCTAAAGGTGCCTTCAGTAGAGTTGGGAAGACAAAAAATAAGAAAACACAGATATGTTATTTCAGGTGGTAGTACGTGCAATAAAGAAAAGCAAAGCCACTAGATAAGGGGACAGAGAGAAATGGGAGGTGTGTGGTCAGGGAAGACTTCTCAGAGGAGGTAATGTGTAAGTTAATGTGAGGGAATGAACTCAGGTAATATCAGAAGGATAGGGGTTTCAGAATGAGGGTACCAAATCCGCAAAGGCCCCTGAGGCTGGAGTGCAGTGAAGGAAAGAGGGGCAAAAGGAGGG